CCTGTAATTTCATCACCTCATCTCCGGCATCAATGATAAGTGTTGCTCGTCCAAAATTCCCACCAAATGATTTCAAGCGTGTTGTATCCATACGCATAAGATCATGTCCATTAATGTCAGAATAAATAGGATTGAATAATGTCAGAATTAATGGGATTTCATAGAATTGGACAAAAAGTCGTAATAAATACAGCTCTTCCGCTTGTTTCCGTAGTTGAGATAGTTTGGGCACCCTAGCAATGAACTCGTCGTACTCTTTCATAGATTTGGGGGTTTGGGTTTTTGGAAGGATATTTCTACTGCTACCACCATCTCGGATAAAGAGCTGTTTTGAATTTGTTTCGGTATTGACTGTTTTGACATCTTTCTTGGAATTATTTTTGGATTTCGCTTTTAATGTAATTTGGAAGACGTTGTCCACACAGATCTTAGACTCAGGAACAATGTCCACTTCTATAACATATGTATCTGGTAATGCCCGGTTGTTCATGAGAACACTAACAAATCGAGGTCGTTTGATGCAAAGATGAGCAATCCATTTTTGTTTATCCTCAAACCAACAGTCAATGGCCTTTTTAAGTCCCTTAACATAAGCCTCTTTATCCCCTACAACCACTCCCAACACCTGGCCATGTTTGAAATCTGGCTTGTCCCCTATTCCAAAATGGATGGTGCCATTGGTGCGGCTATTCATGCAGGCAGATGCAAAGCAAAGAACCTCATAAGTGAACTTGCTCATTTTACTTTCATCTGGTGTGTTGTAAAAACCTTTAAACTCGTGGCAGGGTTCAATGAAGTTTAAGACACCAGATTCTGTGACATCAAGAATGCTGTCCTGCCTGTATCTATGTGCATGATCGTAATGGCAAAATGGGTAAGGTTTGCAAGGACCTCCAGGGAAATTTGTAGAACTTGTTGATCCCTCTTTCTGTAATTTTACCACCTCATCTCTAGCACGAATGATAACGGTTTTTGGACCATTAATGTCCTCTTGAAACAGTCTTTCTGCAACACTGTCATCCACACCATCCAGCTTGAGAAGCAGTCTTCTAACGTGCCGTTTACTCCAATCCTTGATGTCAGGTGGCAGATCCTCCCCCTGAAAATGAAGAAGTGCTGTTACTTTCCAATTTCTCAACACTTCATTATGAATTAAGAAAGATTATTATTAACTGATGTTATCAAACTGTTATTTACCTGAACTTTTTTTTTTTTTTTTTGACTCTTTTTATTGAATGTTTTTTTTTTTAAATTAAAACAGAAACAGGCAATGGGAAAAAAAATACAAGCAAAAACTCTAAACATAAATTATTCAAAGGCTATATGTTCCCAAGCCTGCCTGCAAGTTCCCACTCACCCACCACCCCCCCCACCCCACGCATGTTCCCAGTTTCGTACATACATATATCCACACAAACCTATACATACATACATATCAATCAATAATAATTGATTAATAAAAATAATAAATAATAAAAAATAAAAAAAAATCCATGTTATCCTAAAATATTTTCATGTCAGAAATAAACTAGGGACTGACAAGCCCCTTATTGGTGCCATAGATAACAGGACCACATGCAAAATATTCACAAATATTTAAAAGGGTTGGTCTGGTGTAAACCTCCTTGTGACATGATATGTTGTCAATGTTCCACATTTTAAAGCTGTAATTATGTTCCTAGTTTTTACTTTTTTAAGTCTGCATGCCAAGAGCTTAGAAGCTCGTTCACCGTCCTCATAAAATTTTGCCTGTGTTGTGAAATACGCATGTTCCTCTGACTTTGCATATAAGGAGTTAAGTTGAAATTTGAGATATAAAATATTTACATGTGTATAAAATATTTACATACACATGAACATGCTCCCTCCCTCCCACCCCTGCATCTCAACCCCATGCTTTGAGAGCAATACCCTAAGTAATTTGGTGATGGCATTAGACGCTCAACACCAAAGACTCCCGTTGGACCCCCTCTATATTCAGAGTAGTTTACTGTCAGGGAACTGAGTTTTTATTCCTAATAATAGAAAGAGGAGCCTCATTTTACAAGTAAAATACTTTATAGTAGCCACAGTAATTGTTGCAACCTAAGAACTCAACAACATTAGGCAACTCCTATTCGGGCCTGTAATGTATGTTAGTATAGAATCAAACTATTTAAATATTTGAAATAACGGTCTACAGGTATATCTGGCAAAGTCAAAACAAACTAAGACACACCTCCAAAAAAAAGAAACAAACCAACAAAACAAAAAACAAAAAGGAAGTTACTCCTGATACTTTAGCTAGCAAATATTTTACAGTCAGGAGTGGCAACCTGTAGTCATTTGTTAGAGAATGACCAAGTGTTGTCTTGAACAAATATTGAAAAAGGCCCAATTGGCAGATTTAGGCTACTTTAGTGAAGGCTAGATGCACCTTAATATCTGCACCCAAACAGAAACAAATTTATCCCCAACTCGTTGTAAGTGTTCCGTTTTGTTAACGATGCTCTCAGTCAGTTTGTTTATAAGTACTTGCCAGAACTTGAAGCAGAGCATCCGGTTTACTTTGGTTCTTACGATGCCGTCTCTGGTTCCTTGAACGCTGCGTTGCCCATTTTTCGTTGATGGCGATAAACACCTGCGCCGGGTGCGCCTGCAGCTGGTCTCCGTTGAGGATACCCCTCTGGATGAACTATGTACAGTATGATTCAACATTAAAATCGATTAACAATCAAACAATATTATCAACATGTTTTTAACATTTTGAAATAACAGAGGAAATACAGGCAACGTTTTTAAATTTAATATGAGTTTCCTGCAGAAATAATATTTGACAATTTTTACTTTTAGCGAAGTTCAGTATTTTCTTTCTTTTAATAGGCTGGTTTATCCCTCTGACGTTCCAAGTCATGAGATGTATTGTACTAGCTCTACTCATTACTAGATGTGGCATTGTATTTATCAACTTTTGACCGCCCTTTAACAGAAAAGATACACACAAAAAAAAAACATAAAATATTTACATACACATGAACATGCTCCCTCCCTCCCACCCCTGCATCTCAACCCCATGCTTTGAGAGCAATACCCTAAGTAATTTGGTGATGGCATTAGACGCTCAACACCAAAGACTCCCGTTGGACCCCCTCTATATTCAGAGTAGTTTACTGTCAGGGAACTGAGTTTTTATTCCTAATAATAGAAAGAGGAGCCTCATTTTACAAGTAAAATACTTTATAGTAGCCACAGTAATTGTTGCAACCTAAGAACTCAACAACATTAGGCAACTCCTATTCGGGCCTGTAATGTATGTTAGTATAGAATCAAACTATTTAAATATTTGAAATAATGGTCTACAGGTATATCTGGCAAAGTCAAAACAAACTAAGACACACCTCCAAAAAAAAGAAACAAACCAACAAAACAAAAAACAAAAAGGAAGTTACTCCTGATACTTTAGCTAGCAAATATTTTACAGTCAGGAGTGGCAACCTGTAGTCATTTGTTAGAGAATGACCAAGTGTTGTCTTGAACAAATATTGAAAAAGGCCCAATTGGCAGATTTAGGCTACTTTAGTGAAGACTAGATGCACCTTAATATCTGCACCCAAACAGAAACAAATTTATCCCCAACTCGTTGTAAGTGTTCCGTTTTGTTAACGATGCTCTCAGTCAGTTTGTTTATAAGTACTTGCCAGAACTTGAAGCAGAGCATCCGGTTTACTTTGGTTCTTACGATGCCGTCTCTGGTTCCTTGAACGCTGCGTTGCCCATTTTTCGTTGATGGCGATAAACACCTGCACCGGGTGCGCCTGCAGCTGGTCTCCGTTGAGGATACCCCTCTGGATGAACTATGTACAGTATGATTCAACATTAAAATCGATTAACAATCAAACAATATTATCAACATGTTTTTAACATTTTGAAATAACAGAGGAAATACAGGCAACGTTTTTAAATTTAATATGAGTTTCCTGCAGAAATAATATTTGACAATTTTGTTGTAAGTGTTCCGTTTTGTTATTAATAACTAAACTAAACCTATAACTAAACTACCGCTAAACTAAAACTCTCCAAACTTCTCCTCCGATGTCTCCTCTCTATTCCTCACACACTCGCGCGCGCACACACACACACACACACACACACACACACACACACACACACACACACACACACACACACACACACACTCTCTGTCCCGCTGTGTTCACTCTCGCTCTCATCGCTCCCCAATATTAAAAACACATTGAATTAAACACCTGTTGTTGTAATAATGATAACAATAATAAACGTAGGCCTATTTATCGTTATATGCTACGGCACTTTTAAAAACAAAGTTTTTCACAAGGTCAAAATATGTACAGTATGATTCAACATTAAAATCAAGCTCTCTTATTTTTAAATAAGAGAGAAAATACAGGCCACATCTTTAACTAAACTAAACTAAAGCTCGTCAAACTTCTCCTCCGATGTCTCCTGTACACACGTCCTCTGCCCCGCTGTGTTCTCTCCATAGACTGTAAGGTTCTCTCTTACTGTCATCACTGCCCTGCTCCTCCCAGAGCGCGTCATGGCTGTTGACATTTAAAGGGATAGGCGAACAATTAGAGCTGCGCTCTGAATACTAGACCCCGAATATAAGACGACCCGACTTTTTCGGACCTATTTCGATGGGGAAAAAGGCCGTCTTATATTCGGACCAAAAAAACAGAAATATACATTTTAGAATACACAAACCTCATACTCACAAGTCAAAGATAAAACAGAAAAGACATACATCAACCAAACTGGATTACTATCATGTCACTGAGTATATCTGGGTTTTCATGATTCATTATTTAGATGTTTACCTCCCTATCTGAGTATTTTTAGCAATGGTCAAATATAAGAAAGAGTTGGCCTTCTTAAGAATTCCAAAAATGACTTACCCCTCTCAAAGTTTCCAGACTGCAACGTTAGGTTGTTTGTAGATCGGAGAACAAAAATCAATGGTGCCACGACAGGATGACATCTGTCCTTATAAAGGCGATCACTTCTAAAGAAACGAAACTATTTGTTTCAGGTGCACACCTCTCAACAGGGTGGAGTAGCTATACATGCCAGGCATAGAAAAAAATGAGATAAGGACGTTTTTTTTGCCACTATAATTAATTTAAATGAAGTTTGAAGTTGAAAATGAAGTAAAAGTGTAGTCCCTGTTGTGATAAAAAAAATCCTCCTCCTTTCTTTTACTTGGCAGTTAATGTTTCAGTATGACTGCACATGTCATTTAATGATGCTAACAAGCATGACGTGACTTCCTTAGCTTGATTTCTGTCCTGCTGCTGACACACGTAGATAGTCAGGCGGGGCTGTATACACCTGAGAGATATGAGCAAAGTACGAGGTGGAACATGAATCAACACGACACAAGATGGTGGGTTGTTTGCCTTGTTGTTCACCGAAACAGAACTTATGCTACAGTTTCTGAAAATGTCTTTTAAACATTTAGTATATAAACTACATTATTAATGTATTTTTCCATTCTTTATATCACTTTTTGTCAAGTTATCCGTTAAGAACAACAACAAAAAGATGTGAAGAGTTTGTATGGAGGCAATGACTTTTGCATTTGTCCATCTTCCAACAACACCTATAATTGTTTTTCTCGAGGCCACATTTACAAAAGAACGATCCACTGAGGACGTTTTCAAAAAAGTTCCACGTTCAGAAAACCACTATGACCACTATTTCCACTATAATTCATTTAAATGAAGTTGGAAGTTGAAAATAAAGTCAAAGTGTAGTCCCTGTTGTGATAAAAATTCCTCCTCCTTTCTTTTACTTGGCAGTTAATGTTTCAGTATAACTGCCACGTTGTTTCTTCCTCCTCTTTAAGACCAAGGTGCTAATAGATCAGATCATGTCAGAGAATAGAAATGTAGAAATAAATCTCACAGTTGGTAAATGTGAACCAGATCAGCTGTCTGAGGGTTATTGGAGGATAAAGGTTGGCACTGGCCACACCTAAACCCTAAATCCAGTTTATCCTGAAATGTAACTATGAAATGCACATGCGCATGTCATGTAATGACGCTAACAAGCATGGCGTGACTTCCTTATCCACGTCAGGAGTAGAAGTATTTGTAGCTGACGAATATATAATAAAAACAAGTTCTCCCATGTTTGACTTGTTTTTACCTTTAAATTCACAAATGATTGCTTTCTTTGCAGTGCAGATTAATTCAATGATGGGAGGCATTTGATTGATCCCCAGGTGGTCTTTGAGACGCAGTCATTTATATTACATACTTTTTCTTGATAGACACGAGGGAAAGTCATGTTTTCATAGTCCACAAATTAAAAACTTTCAGGGCCCCTTATATATGTTCAAAAAACTCACATGAACTTGACGGCCAGATTTTGATTCTTTTTTTTATGTTAACTAATGAACATTGTTTCACCTGAAATAAAAAATAGTTTTACTCTCTGTCGTAACAGGCCTTTAGATGTACTTGAATTAACTTTTTACGAATATTAAGGAACAGTGGAAAAATTCATTATTTTAACTTAAATTAAGTTAAATTAATTTAACTAGATAAACTGATGATGAATGATGAGAAAAGTGCATCCTCTCCATCTTTTGCCTGCTCCACTTTTTCGAAAATGTGTGCTCAAACAGACCGTTTGGAGATTTTCCCTTCATGACATCACAAAGGGCAGTAACCCCTCCCCCAGCTGGGTGACACTCCCACAGCTAGGTGTTTGTTCTGCCCCCTGAGTCTGCCTTCTCACCGTAAACAATAGAACATGGAGCGAGAAAGCCCGAGTCACCCGAACACTTCCAGAGAGGGGGCGTGGTCAGACACAGCTCATTTACATTTAAAGGTACAGACACAGAAACAGCCAGTTCTGAGCAGGGCTGAAATAGAGGGGTTTATAGACATGATCAAATACAGGATCAGAGTTGATTTAGAACAAGAAACTTCACACACATGTTTTGGGGAGTTCTGAGACTTATTTATACTGGTTGAAGAGGAGGAGAATATGTGACCTTTAATACATTTGGGGTTTGACTAAACAATTGGTACAAAAAGTAAGCAGTAGGCTGCAAGTCAGCGAGCAGCTGTTAGCCTGTCTGTTATCCACCAACAATGAACTGGATTGACGTTGGTACAATAAAATTGCTTATTTTGTCCAGTTAGATCATTTTGTTAAACCAGAAACAACTGTTGTATCACTTACTTTAAAGGTGCTGGACTCCTTTGACATTATCAGTCATTTATCTATTACTTTGTTTTTGAAATTGTATTTTACACAGACATTGTGTCGGTGAAAAGGTAACATTTACAACATTTAGAAGCTGCACAATAAAACAAACAAATTAACCAATCAAGGCAGCAGTATGTCATAAACTTAGTTGTTGCCAGATAAAGATAACGTTTCTGTCAGTGGAGTCTGGAGGCCTTCAGAGAAATGTAACGGCTGTTTCTGGTTTTAGAAAAAAGCATCCCACTCTGTAGTTAAAGGAAGTTTTCTGTAATATTGTCAGAAAGTTACAATAAGCATCAGAGCCTGTAAGTTGGAAAAACACATTTTTTAATGGACATGATTAAATATGTTTACCCTCGGGGGTTACTTCTCATGCGTTACAGACTGATTCTGAAAAAAAGGGCTGTAGTTACAAACTCTGAAATTCTTCTTTGACTGACTGAAATATATTCCGCACACTTCCACTGATGAAACGTTGAACCTGCAGAGCAGCTGTTGGTCATTTCAATACGACGTGGTAGCCGTCTGTGCTTCCGTCTGGAAAAAACAAAACGGTGAAAGATCAGTAAAACTCCAAAAACTAGGCCACACATAGGAAATATGTTGTGAGTTTAAGGGTTGACTAATACAGTTATTACCCCTTGTAGTGCTGAGGATGAAGTTTGTTTCTTCCTTAAAGTTTTGAACCATCTGAAAAGTATGGATGGACCAAAGTTGACATCTTATTTGCATTTCCAAATCATCATCATCAATAAACCGCTATTTTCAGTACAATCAGCCTTTCACAGGTTCTGTTTTTAGCTAGGTTATAAACGCTGACAGGACGGGTTGAACTTATTCCAATGATGAACATGAGAACTACTTAGTCTGTTTCTTTTGTCTCCAAATGTTTTTTTAAATATATTTTTGGGCCATTTTTGCCTTTTTTTTCAATCCTTTATTTGCCTTTATGTCAATTTACCTCGTCGGACACTAACACATGAATCCCGGAGGGGTTTTGTCTGTAGATGTGTGTGATTTGCTGTGGAGTGATGCTGTACAGCATGGCGATCTTTTCAGACAGGTCCAGCAGTGTGAGCTCTTCCAGGTACAGAGCGTGGTAGACTGCAGAGAGGACAGGGGAGACAGAGGAAACATAAGAACAGGATACAAGTCAATGTCCTACTTATGGAGGACTCCAAGTGATGCTGTGAGTTTTATTGATGTTCTCTTGTAAAGACAAATATTGTTTTCCTAATATTACCACAGCTACAGTGAATTACTAGAAACTACGAGAAAACATTTCCAGAAACCCTTAAAGACCCGGTCACCCCTTTGAAATATTAAAAATGGTAGTAAAGAGTGTGCAAATAAAGCCAGGTAGACCTATACAAGTAGATACAATACAATAAATCTGATGAGATCTTTTTGTGTGCAAATAAAAGTTCAGATTTAGTTAAGCAACATGATTTTGAAAGTATCAATTAGTGAATATGTTTCAACTTTAGTGATCTCAAGTATTACCATGATTACAATAATTATGCTTTTGCATAAGCATGTTACACTTTGGGTGCACTCACCGTCTCCCCCGCCTGGTTTGGTGGGAGCTTGATTTCTGGCCTGCTGCTGACACACGTAGATAGTCAGGCGGGGCTGTATACACCTGAGAGATATGAGCAGAGTACGAGGTGGAACATGAATCAACACGACACAAGATGGTGGGTTGTTTGCCTTGTTGTTCACCGAAACAGAACTTACGCTACAGTTTCTGAAAATGTCTTTTAAACATTTGGTATAAACTGCATTATTAATGTATTTTTCCATTCTTTATATCACTTTTTGTCAAGTTATCCATTAAGAACAACAACAAAAAGATGTGACGGGTTTGCATGGAGGCAATGACTTTTGCATTTGTCCGTCTTTCACCAACACCTGTAATTGTTTTTCTCAAGGCCACATTTACAAAAGAACGATCCACTGAGGAAGTTTTCAAAAAATGTTCCACGTTCAGAAAACCACTATGACAACAACCGCTGTGCACACAGATCTGCGGAAAAAAAACCTTAAAAAAAAAGCTGTAATACCCATACCAGTCCAGTAGCTGGCGGTGTGACTTTGTAATGAAACAACCCGTGCATGCTAAGCCAAATACTAACGAGAATGGGTAGAGCGTTCACAGTAAGGCCTCACCTTCCTTTCATGGTGTTAAAAAGACGGATACCATCAGCAGGGCCACAGATCTGGATCAAATCTTCTTTGCTCATCCTCAACAGATCAGCACCTGCAACAACGACGGATAATATTTTCCCCCTTCTTGCATTTCATCACTGAGTAAGTCAGCTGAGTGCCAGCACTCTCTTACTGTATAATAATTCCATGGATTTTTATGTTTTGTATTGTTGGCCCCCAGTTACCTGAGAAGCTGGAGAAGAGCCGTGAGAAAGGAGAGAACCTGTGATGGTGCAGCCACTGCTGAGTGTCCTGCAGCGAGGTCGATGGCAGAAGGTGCTACATGTCAAAAAGAAGAAGAGCCCTTGAAATGAGTATAGCAGCACAGCATCCACTGTCTCCAAATAATGGCCTAAAAGGAATAAGAGAGCAACATTAACACCGCACTGTTCTACTGTTACTTACATCTGAGCAGCTGGGCATGAGCAGCTCCCCCTGCTGGTTTGGGGAACAGTTCCTTTAAAAACATGCACATAAGGAGGAAAGAACAGGTAAGGTGATTGGTTGAGTGTTTCATCCGTCAGTTAAATAATAAATTAAATGTTTTTCTTAAGCTGTGTTTACAGATCCCAGGTTGGTAACATTTATGCTCCTGCACATACTCGTGAGCACCCATAGAGGGAGCTGTTGCCACTGTAATGTCACACCTGTGGTTCAAGGGGACTTTTGGCTTGTTTAAACCTGGGCCCTAATGTGACATATTTTTGATTCTTAATGACTAAGATTACATTATTCACTTCAGAGCCACCAGAAACTTCTACCACGTCTACCACTGCCTCTGCCAGGTTTTTCCTGTTATTGTTGTGTCTCCAACTAACCCAGAGGAACTCAAAAAAATCCCAAGCCAATACTGAAAACGAACATATTGAGCTCTGATTTGACAGGCAACTTCTAAATTCTGCAATTACATTTTTTGTCAATGTAGCCTTGTGTGTCTAAAGAGAGAGATGTAAGTGCTGTTTTTTGGTCAACAAAAAGAGCATCTATTCCTGTTTAAAAGCTCTATCTTTGACAGGAGTCTTTCTGCATTGGTACAAACATCTGAGCCTCTCAGTGACAGAAAAATATGTATCTGTATGTGCACATACTTTGACTGTACCTGAAAGACTGTTTGGCAGCCATGACAGCCCGTGTTGCCGCTACTAGCTAAGAAAATCTTTGGGTTTCAATTTCAACATTTTGTGCACAGTTTGATCATTAAGCTCCTCATAAACGATTAACTAGGGCCCATATTTCAAACTAACATATTTATCCTTTAACCATCACCTAGTAGGATAATTTACATCGTACACCGCCAAAAATGAAACCAAGAAATCTTCTGAACCCACACCTGACCAAAGAATTACATTTCTGCAATGAAATCTCTTCGAAAAGCACAACTTTTACAAACTTGACGTTCATCAGCGGTCTACAGGTCTACAGGTCTACACTCCAGGACAAACAAAATGAATGTGGTTGCTGACAGAACACAAATGGTGACGCTGCAGGGCTTTAATGCTGACTCACCCATCAGTGAAACTACAGGATGTCGGGGAGCTGTGGTAGACTGGTGATGGAGCGCTGCTGCTGCTGTGGTTGGTGAAGTTTAGAGCATCAGGCCAAGGAGAACACTTGATAGAGGAAACAGAGAAAGAACAGAGGTGTTGTCTGATTATTCATCAATGCACAGTTAGACGGAGGTCCTAAGTCTCTTTCAGTCACTTTTTTACCATTTTTTCCCCCTGTTTAAAATGTCCATTTTGACAGTAGAAATCAACATGTTTACATCCTGGTACAAAAGACGACTTTGGTCTAACTAACTAACACACACTATAAAAACTATAACTAACACACACTATACAAGGTGTGGGGGGGGGGGGGGGGCGTTATAACTCATCCTGTTGGATTTTATGAAGGATATGATCTATAGACCATCATGGACAACACTGATCATTTCTGCAGTTCATCATTATTTGTACTTTCTGTAAGCACTGCTGCAGGGTCAGTGTCAGACGAGATGAATAACAACAAACTGAAGAAACTTCAGATTCAAACTGAGTGATGTGTTTGACTGTGAAAGAAAGCAGGGTGACTATGTGTGTCAGAATACATTACATTAAATGTTTACAGGACAAGATCCACAAAGAGGTAAGAGGTAATGCTTTGTCACCAGGGGCGCCATCCCAGCTTTACCTGTGCAGTCTCTGAATGTAGACGTTTGAATGCTTTAAAAAAAAATTGTGTCCATGTACTTTTGTAAGAGAAAAGGATCACTGGACTCATAGAGTGCATGTTTGAGTAACACTTAGTCAGAATCTGCTGAGTCACTTGATTTCCAAAGACTAACGAAATGGCACATCTGGGGCCTCAATCATTGACAGAGCTCAGCGGTGAAGGCAGCACACTTCTGAAGGAATGGCTCAAAACAAGGCAAAGCAACACATTAACATTCAGAACTCTAGCCCTGGTTTAAAGTGGACTGTGTGTAGGAATGTTTTCTGACTTGCAGGTCAAGCAAAGTAAATAATAAATCCATTATTTTGTAGCTTCAGTGCTGAGGAGATTACATTAATATCCACACAAGACAAGAGTGTAGCTGTGAGGTCAATAAGATTGCAACACTTCAGACAAAAGAGAGTAAACAGACAGTCATCTCAGGTCAGATCTGTTATGTTATGTGGACAGTTTGCCTCACCTCTTTCAGCACGGTGGTCTCGTGGGACAGTTGATACTTTTCTCTGTCTTGAGGCGTCTTTTTAGCGATCTTTTCCCTGTCTGTCTTCAGTTTGCGATCAGCTCCTTTAGGCTGCCAGAAAAGAAAGAGACGAGAAGTAATCCAGTTATAAATATATGAATGTGTATTTCTCATGGATGATGTCGCCCGGTGGTTAATACAACATAACTTTGTGCTACAGGTACAGGCTGTAGCAAAGACACATGTCAGGATGAACGCTTCTTACCTTGAACACTTTGACCTGGCAGCTGGAAGAGTGGACGTGCTCCATGTATTCCCTGTGTTCATTGGTGGTAAAAGTGTCCACCTGGATACGAAAGGGGACTCCCTTTTCCCCGCCATGCTTCCTGGGGTAAACTCAGTGCTAATGCAGTTGACCTGAGAAGACGATGCAAGAGAGGGTGTGCTTACTGTAAACGTTTGTGGCATGTGCTTAGAAAGCTTCTCCAGAGGTTTAGCTTGCGACTGATTAAATTGTACCTGGATGAAAACAGAAGCGTTCTTCACAGGATCCCAGAGAAACTCGATGGTGTTGAGGTGCATAGGGTGGGATCGAGGCTCCATTATGCCCACTGACAGCGGGATATCTGCAAACAATCAGTCAAGATGGTTCACGTTCATTTTCTCAGTGGTTGGTCCTGAACTTTGATCAAGTCTTACAGTATATGAGTTTGTGTATGAATTGCCCTGAAGTTTGTTGAAATCCTTGAAAGTTTTTTGGCCTTCAGTTTTGCAGCCTTGAGTTTGGCATTTTGGCCGTCGCCATCTTGTTTCTGTTTTGTTTTTAATTTTAAACTAGAAGCCAACTTATATGGAAAGAAGAGTGGATACTGATTGCTATAAGCTTGACAGTTTGTGTCCCGTATATGGAGGCTATAGTCCTCCAAGTGGACGGACCGGCTCCTTTCCTGCATGTCATTTCCCACTCTCTTTCTCCTGATTTCCTACTCTATCCACTGTCCCATCCATATAA